TGTAAAATCTAAAAATTTCACACTCTCTTTTTGGCATTTCCAACAAGCTTATGACACCTGAAAATTTTAATCCACCATATGCTTCACTTGATTCCTGAATTGCTGTTCAGTTCTTTCTCTCACCATTCAAAGGGAGCCTCAGCTGATAAAGGATGCACCAGGAACAAACGGTTTAGGCTGAAAAGGCTCGTACAACCTGGGCCAGATTCAATTCACTGAGCATTAATCCACTTTAATCCAACTGGATCACATACTTATGGCAAAAGCCTTGAGGCTTTGACAGCACCAGTTCTGCTGATATTTAAAGGTTAACAAAGTCAGTAGATCCCGTGCTACACTGAGAACTTTGGCTGATAATCTGTACAATGAGTTAATGAATATGAAGTAGAGACCACACATTGATAGCACTCTTTTTTCCCCCAACAGGATGTAGAGCCCCAAAATCTTATATCAGGATGCAAGTGCCATAAGATAACCATGCTTCAATAACTCAGTCATTTCAAGAATATCAAAGAGAAAAATATAAGAAGATGCAAAACATTCCATTTTGATACAACTTCCTCACTGCTTGAGAAAGCAAAGTCTCCCTAAATCTCTGAATGCCTCATGCAGGCACAGCAGATAAATGATCTGGGGTGGGAGATGACAATCTCTGAGACCCAAGAGGATGGGAGAAAGATGCAGAGAGCTATAATGAAAGCTGTCAGGTGCATCATCTTGCTGTAGCAGTGTTCTTATTAAAGATGTAAGAGCACTTGCAATGTTAAATTCCGAGGAGGAACAGCTTAACATCCAAGTGCAGCTCTCAGAAGGGATCCTACAGAGCAGTAAGATTTTTAAAAGGCTGATAAAAACTTGAAGGAAACCAACAGTCGAAAAAACACACAACAATCACAATTTAAAAGTATATAAAAACATATATAAACCCCTGTGTATAAAAGCCTTTCTCAAAAGCCCTGGAGGAAGAAACGATGCTCACTCACCCCTGTGACATTTGTCTCCAACAAACCAATGCTGTGACTGACACACTCTGCACTCAAATGCAATAGAAAACCGAGGCCTTGACCAGCTGCAGCCTTTCTGGAAGGATATCAGGGCTCCGAGGAAAGAGCAGATGTTGATCTGTGCCCATTTCCCTAGGCTTCCCATGTTCCTGGGCAGAACATGCAGATTCAGTATGAGCCCTGCACAGCACAGTACAGGAAACATGTTTATCCCATGTGACAGACTCAAATAAATTAAGACTTCAGGATCAAAGGCAAGATGTAACATGTTCAAGCATATTCTGTCTCAAGGTTACCCATACAAAAATTACTACGGGTTCTGTAATAATAGAAGCAGTCGCTTCATTGAAATTAATTTATTTTGAGAATATCCCTTTTAATCCTCCATGCATTTTTTAGCACAAAAAGTTGAGTTTTATTACAACCTCCTTCATAAAACTTAATATTGTATGTCTGGTAATGTGGCTGTTTCAACAATTCCTCATTGGAAATTCCCATATCTGTGAAACCTTGGCAACATTGTTAGTATAAGTGACCTACACAAAGTTTAATAAAAAATTTTTACTGAATATCCTCTGTTTAATGTAAACAAGGCAGGAGGCGAAACAAGGAGTATATATTTTATACAATTACACTATTTTACAGGGCACAGAAAGCATTGAGGACATGGTTTGAGAACCCTGTATGATATGCAATATCAGATATGGAATTTCCATGTAGCCCCACGTCTGTTCCAGGACCCTTTAATCTTACCAAGTACTTCAGGTTAGTATTTCTTCTAGCAAGACAAAGAGCACTAATAAAATGTCATCTGTGAGATTGCACAGCAGGTTATGGTAGAAATTACCATGCATTTACAAAGCCATTCCATGATTACTTGTGCCCTGTAAAATGAAGTGTGGCAATCTTTACACTAATCATAGTGTAAGCAAGCTCAGGATTCTGGTCCTTTTATATATATATGTATATATATACATAGGTGATGTACAACCAGACTCAAGCTGTGCATCAAGTCACAGCTTTTATATTGCACAGACAAATATAGAGTAAGAACATATCACAGACAGAATCTGAATACCAGGAATATTACAGTCATAGGAGAAACTAAAGACAAACTTGTTCTACCAGAGCTAGCACATGGCTTATTACAAAATTTTCTAAATCAGAGTCTAAATCAAATATATACTATAAATGAAAAAAACATAAAACAATGCTTCTATTTACACACATGTGCATCAGGATTAGAATGTGGTTTGAATCTGCTTTTTAAAAAAAATTATTCTAGTATCCCATCTCAAGTATTTCAATCTAATACCAGTGGCCCCATTCTCTAAGGTGATGAACACTTGTCTTTGCCACTGACATCTGGAGGATCCGCACAAGCCATGAACTCTTCAGGCCAAGTATTTTCTTGGGTGGCCCTCTCTGGGTAATAAATAACCACATACAAACACACGCATACAGTAACAAAATGGGCTCCTCAATGACATGCATAGATCAAAAAGGTGAAAACATGGACCTGAACTAACTAATCATTAAAAAAAAGTGCATGAAAAATATCACCACAAAAATAATTAAATGAATTCCATCTCTTAAGAAAGATTAAGTCACTTTTACAAAAATAAAGGTCATTGTCGTCAGGTATGGTAATTAAGGGTTTGTAGGCAGCACTCACAAAAGCAGTTTAGGTTAAAGCAACTTTAAAGATTGCTTCATCACTTGTGTGAGGATGGATCCATGTCTTTTAAATTTATCCACTAAATGACATTTGGTTTGCAAGAAAACATCACCGATGTCACTGGAGACTGAACAGTCACAGCCTGAATTTAAGACTGACCATAGTTCTACATACTTATTTTTCTCATGGACAAGCTTCAGGAGCTGTGTTTGCAGCTCTGCAGTGTTTTGCATTAGAACACCACAGAGGCTGCAGCCTTTCAGTGCAATGAGTTCAGGTACCAGTGAAAACAGCAAAACAAAGGAAGTGATGTTAATGCTTTCATTTGAGATCAGGCAACTCTTGAATGGCTTTATCAATTCTTATATTATTTGGAATGCTCTTACAAGTTTTGTTAAACATTTTGCTCACTTTCATTTATAGTAGTATTACACTTCCAGTTTCCACTGAATTTGGGACATTAGAAGTATTCTGGAGCATATGCTTTAAAAAAAAGAATTAGATGATTTGAGAAAAAAGTGATTAAGCTCAGGCAAAACCAACAAAGACCCAAATTCAGTAAAGCATCAGCGTTTCTGCTCAACCGCTTAACTGTGTTCATATAAAAGACTGTGATTTAAGGAAAAATACTTGAAATTAAGCTTATGATTAACTGCTTTGCTGAATTGGGACCTTATAAATAACGAATGTATGTATTAAACATCACTCTGCTTAGACAACAACATGTTCTAAACTAGGTGTCAGGTATTAAAGAAAGCTCCTAATGTGGACTGTCTGTAATGCAACTGACTAAAAATTATTTGCTACATTCAAGGTAGAAGAAAAATGAACTAAGTGTAATCTTTTCAAACTTTGTTCTACTATGCTACTTGGACCTGAAAACACTTTGTAGCTAAATGCAGAAAAAAAACAACAGGTGAAGAAGTAAAATATGCTTTTGTTTGCCAGAGAAATGCAAGAGTTTTTACGAAAGTGTCCCAGTACAGGAAGCCACTGAATACAGGTTTTACCAGCCAAAATGTTTCCCCAGTTCCAGAACTGCTTTCTCCAGCTGAACCTGTACTGGAAGCTTTTACAGCAGGATGCTCTTCACTGGTGACAAGAATAAATTTAGTCCATTAACTGTGATACTGCTCTAATTAACCCGCTAACTTAAAAAGCCTCTTAACATCCAGCTTCCATAAATATTAAAAAACAAGACCTCAAAGGCATGGATAGAGAGCAGAATCTGATTCTACGTACAGTCATGTAAATCCAGAAGAATTCTAGTGACTGAATAAATTAGTCCATGTTTGCATATGAGCAATGACATCTGAAATGGGCATTAGCTGTGCAAACGGGGCAGGAAAGACAAACGAGGAATGACAATGTAAATGGAAGGAGCTGAGCTCTACCTGGCCTTGCTCAAAGGAGGGGAAAGAAGTCCTACCCACCATGGGGAGAGCAGGACAGGTCACTGGGTATGACTGCAAGGTCCAGCACAGACACCTGCCAGTGCACAGGGTGCTGGCACTGAGGATCCTCTGGACGGCAGAAGCAAAGCAGTGCACGGGCTCTGCCTGCAGTGCCAGCACCTGCCCTGGCTGATGGCATTCACATGGAAAAGGAGTCACTGAAAGGCAGTCCTGCATCCCAGCATTTTGGTCCTAAATAAGGTATCAATGCTTTAACTGAGTTAGCATCACTGTGATGGTTAGATAAGCAATAAAAATGTCTCTCAAAATAACAGAATGTTTATGCTGCCAATTTTTAAGGCACAAAAGATTCTTAAACAGATTTAGACTAATACCGATTTAAAAGAAATTAAAAACACTGTTTCAGCAACAACTACTCATGACCTATAATTAAACTATAATGTAAAGGTGACATGAGTCAAACAACTAGAGTTCCTAAAAGCTAAAGCAAATCTAGTTACACGGATGACCTTGAGATCAATCACTTGGAATGACAGAGACACACATGCTACAAACACGTACACTTCAGATATATTTGTTATGGATACGATGCCGAATCAGGATTAATTTCTTTAGTATTGATTTCAGACTGATAGATTTCTTGGAGTAAACCACTGAGGAATCAAGTGCAGAGCTGTAGTTAAGATCTACCAAAAGCAGAATGATCCCCCATATCCTATTGTATATGGATTGGTGGATTTTTTTTAACTTTTTAATAACATACATTGCCACTATAGGTGTGTTTTTCTTTCATATATCCAACTGAAAAGAAAAAGAATTAAGACATAAAAATGTTATAAAATTAACTTGCTTTTTAAAAAATAATATGGCCAACAAAGAACAAATTGGTGCCCCAGGTCATACAAGAGCCCAAACTCTCTAAACATTGTCATCAGAATAATCAAGGCCTGATGTCTGTGGTTCTTCATGCAGCTTTTGCAGCTCTTCACACAGTGGCTAGAAATGCTGTGTATTGGTTTCTCCCCAAACGTCTTTGCTCATATTCCAAGTCCATTTGCAATCTCAACATCTGGTGAAAGGAACTTGTCTTCCAAACATCCCCTGCACTTGGCCGGAGGCTCCACCGTGTCTCTGGGTGCTGTCGGTGTCCCTGGGGCTGAGCCCAGCCCGGGGCGGGGGTGGCTCGGCCCGGGGCAGCTCAGGGCGTGGCTGAGGTGTGGTACTTGACAAAGGCGATGGCCGCCAGCTCCTTGCAGAACTCTTCCAGCACAATCACGCCCTCTAGTAACGTCATGTGGTCAATGCTGGGACGGGAAGAAAATTGCAGGGAATCAGGACTGGCACACACAAACCCAGCCACGCATCTCAGAGAACGTGCAATGCGTTTACTCACATGGGCCCTTCCGGCTCCAAGCCCAGCAGGCGTTTTCTGACCAGCAGAAGTTTGGGAGTGAAATCTGGGATGCGCTGGATTCTAACCATGAGGTCCCCAACGACCTGCAAAGCACAGGCCATCAATACACAAAATTAACACCTCTGCAATGCCTGGCAGCAAGGTTCAATGTTCAGTGCCCACTTCAGCATCCTCACAGGCTCAGAGAACCTGCAGAGAGGCTGTTCTGCCCAAAAAGAGTGTGAGTGAGTGAGTGCAGAAAGTAAAGAAATACAAAAGCTTTACTTGTCACAAATGGCATTACTTATTTTAATTACATCAATTATTGATTTGTTTTTTTAGATGTTGAAATAGACAATCAACCAGTGAATTCCTGTGCCTAGGGAAAGCACAATGGGAGAGAGTGAAGGTTGTATTTTGGAACAGAGAGAAAGGGAGCCAAGCCCTCTGTTACTATCAGGCAAGCATCATTAACAGGCTCCTGACCAGCTCAGTAATAGCTGGTGTATGGGTAAGAGAGGGATTCCGACTGAGGACACTGCAGTGTGACAGGCAGCACTTCTAGGATGCAAGTCTGGCAGGAAGAGATGCAACTGGAGAAGAAGGGGACTTTTAATAAATCCAGGACTTATTTGTCAAGAACAGCCTTCATCAGAAAAAAGAAAGAGTACGAGCAGAGATACCCATGAAGGCCCAATCTTGATTTGAAATCGGCTTTCAATGGCAAACATTTACCAACTTAAACTACCCAGCGACTACTACCACCAACGACAAAGTTATTAAATATATTACTGCCATACAGCCATGTGTAATTACTGCTGTGTTTACTCACCCTGACAATCACAGAGAAGAGAGACTTGCAGCCAGAGGCAAGGTTGACGTAAGGATCCAAAAGGTATTCGTGTATATGAGGATGGGGAAACAGGGACAGTTTGGACAACACTGACGTAACTTGCAAATTTACATCATAGGGCTGCAAAATGAAGGAAACGCAGTGCTTAGTTATTTTCATGCTGGCTTATTTTCATCCACCTCATGTTTATGTAACTACTAGAACTTTATACACAGGGTTATGAATAAATAAAGATAAAAAGGTAGATTAGAAGACAGGCCCAACCTCTGCTTTTCACAACAGCACTGCTGTGAATATGACAGTTGGGCATTAGATGTTATTATCTGTATTGCTGCTACAACCACTTGAAGTTTTTGCACACTTATTTATTGCAGAGCAAGTCCTCTTCCCGTAAAACATTTCTGCAGCTAAAGAAATAGCATGGAATCAGCCTAGATTAAACATCTGCTTGCTTCTCCTGGGAAACTGTAAAGTATATGAGCTCAGGAAATTGCCAGAGAGAAAACCATGTTTACAGCTAATACGTTATTTCTCTTCTACTTTAATTTTTCTGGGAAAGAACCATTGCCGAAGGCCTGGCCATCTTGTGGCAGCATCCTATGGGAGATGGGACCAGTCCTGGGCTGGGAAAGCAGCAGGAAGTTCTGAGCTTCTTGTCTACTTCCCTTCCCCAAATCAACCAAATGGGAGAGGCCACACTGTCAGATGCTGGAAAATGCTTATCGGCCATAAGGCATAAAATAGTACCTAATTTTCCAGGAAAAAAAAAAGCACCTAATTGAAACGATTTGGCCATTGTAGTAAGAAACTTATTTCCATAAAAGCAAGCATTTTCATCATGGCTTCTTTATGTTTCAAACTTTTTATTTTTTCTTTTTATCATCCCAGTGAAAACAAGTTGACATTTTAACTCAGCCCAAAATTTACAAACTAGTAGAACCTCCTTCCATTTTTCCAATGGCAGAACAGAAGAGAGGGACAGACATTCCTTTGATACACCTCTGTGTCAATCAACCTTGTTGATCTAAGTGGATTACTGGGCCCTCATTTAATCTCTGACTGCATATTGGCAGTAATACCCTCACTGGCATTATCACACCTAGAAGAGGAGGATTTAATGACTTCAGATTCTCATCTTTATGCTCTCAAGTTAGCATCCCACTGAAGAATAAGAGAACAGATTCTTCCCCTTTTCAGATCAGGGAGATATGGATGAATTCAGATTCAGATTAAGACAGATACATTTAGCCATGTCTACATGTCTAAGCTCTCATTAGCTGACTCAACAGAGATGACACTTCATACATCTGCCCACACACAAACATCTCCTGCCATCTCAGATGCTCCCAAGTATCTGCTGGTCTCTTGATGTTCCACAGAGGGTGGATCCTGCAAGATCTGTGTTGTAACCACAAACTTCTGGGAACATCCTGGACACCACAAAAATGGCAATAGATACCTGAGCTCAGGGACCTGAGTGGAGCTTTCAGTGCACAAAGTCCAGGAAGCTGAGCTGGTGATTCACTTTGCACTGAAAGTGACACCTACTTGCCTTTCAGCCTAAGAGACCCAAGGACTACTGGGGCTTCTCTGACAAAATTTCCAGTGACTACACATGTCCACATAAGTAATATTTAGGTATCTTGTTCTTGAATCTGTTACCACACACAGTTGCATTGCAAAGTTGTCTCATAAATCTTCTGAAATGAAAGCACTTATTTCTTCCAGTCAGTCATAGTTATTTCTGTACTTGGCACTCCAGCAATAGATTCATCCCAATCTCCTAACAAATGAAGCTTTCAGCCCCTGGACCACAGATGTTACAGGTAAAACAGATCACTACATTTTGAGTTATTATAGCAGAGTTACTCTGCAGAGAGAGACAAAAATTCCTTCCATAAATCCATTCACTGCCTACCTAGCTGAACTGTAGGACAAGATCTTTAGAGCTGTTTGAGTCAGCCAATTCATTAGGAAGCTTTGAAGGCATGAGCATTATCTGGTGTTCACAAGAGGAGAAGGAAACAAAGGAGTAACACGTGCTGCATTGTTCTGACAGATTGCTGTTGTGATTCCAACTAATTGAGAGCATTAAAGAAAGCTGCTTCTTCACACAGAGCTTTTATTTCTGTCCATATGTCAGCAGACTCAGTAAAATGGCCCCATATCAGATAAATCCTAAAAAAATTCCCTGTAGCTAAAAAGATTAAACCCAGCAAATTTTGAAGTTCAGGAAATTAAAAAAAAATTCTTAGGGTACAGTCAGTTCTACAGAAATTTGTAATGCCAGCAGGAGGAAGAAGGTAGTGTCTAGTACATGAGGCATTTGAAAACAGTTACTTCACTTCTGTGCTTGAGCTATCTTCTGTCAGAAATGAGGTTAGTGAGAGCTACCACCTCTGCAAAGCTTTCTGGTATCACAGATTTCTATCAGAGTGTTCCCAGGAACACTCACAGTGCTGACCTAGAGGCTACTCCTGGCTTCCTGCACATGTTCCCTGTGGATTTATATGTGCAAATGGCTCCTGTCAGGCTTATGACCAGGAAATGGCACATTACACAATAATATGACACTATAATAGAGAGTGATGGGAATCCATGGGACCTGATGGAGATCAGCTCTTTAAAAGTGATGAAAGTATCAGAAACTGAATTCTTGTTTTTTCTTACCTGATCAAGAATCCTGCCCATTCTTTCAAACAGGACTTTCAAGAAGTGTCCTTCAAAAAATGACGCTTCTAAATTGCACTTTTCCAAAGATCTGGGAGATCCAGGCCACTCCCACCGTAAGCAAATAACACAATAATCCCGGAACTACAAAAAAGTAGTGAGGAAAATAGAGTTAAATCTCCATGGAAACCACTTCATTTCCTTTGATAGTCCATACACCTTAAAACCATCATCTGTAGCTAAATGATAAATCTAAGCTCAAAAAATCAGTCATTTTAAAGTAAACACTATCAGTAAAACCACAATCAGCAGGCACCTCATTTTCCTGGGGATATTCCTGGCACTAGGTAGTTTGAGAAGCAGTAAGTGGAGAACAGAGCTCCCAAAAAGCAGCTGGGGACAAAACACAAAGCAACACCAACAATACATGAGCTAATCAGGGTTCTTCTGAAACAGGAATTGCATTCTTAACCATCTTCTTGAGAGTACATTACCATGCTTCCACTGCCCTATGTGTAGCTGATATTGCTATGCAAACCATTCTGCTCCCTAATTCCCAGGACAGGAAAGGCACGTGTACACGTAGAACATACAAACTAAAAGTATTTCAGGGCTTTTTCCAAACAAAGAGACAAAGAGAAACAAAGAGAATTTGTTTCCTAACACCCCAGGCAGTCTTTCTCTACCTTACCCCGTATTTGCTGTGTGCTGCCTGATGCCCCCTTGCAAGGAATTAAACCTTGAAAGGAGCACAAGCTGAAGAGAAAATAAGGAACACAGGAAGAAACAGAAGCAAAGCAGTCAGAAAACAGACTCAAAAATTCTGCATTGATTGCAGCTTACCTACCTATGCAGGCTTCCAGGAATAGCAATAAGGAAGCAGAACAGCTATTTGGATGTAATAACAGGAACAGGCAGGGCTACTCTTAGGGGGGAAATATTTTAACAGTAGCCATATCATCGTCAGGAAGTGACAGAAACCAATTCTGCTCTCTAATAAGTCCCAGTACACTCTTTTTCCCAAGGCATGAAAGAAAGACGAAGATGATAAGTGGTTTCTGGCATCCAAGGATAGAATATAGGGGAATTTTACATCAACCTTTGTTTCCTTATTCTCTATTTTCTATTCCCTTTCTTTTTAGGGGAGACTGTATAGATGAAGCAATATAAATACAGAAATCCAAACTTCTCATCTTTAGCAGCTGATAACACAATTCCAAGGTTATGGAATTTTTGAATTACCTATTAAATATAGCTCTCAGTTACTCTGTTCCTTTGCATAAATTTTTCTATTCCAGAAGATTCACAGGGTTTCAATAAGAAAGCTGCAAACAAACAGTGACTGTCCTTTGACCACGGAAACTTTCTGTTTATAAAAGCAAAACTTGCATTTATTCCTAAACAGTAAATCATAAAGCCTTCCCTGCCTACCCAACCTCCCAACTTCAAACCTGAATGCCTTAGGCTGTGCATTCCCTGTGATGAGCCTTTATTTGCTAAGTCCCAGATTGCATAACTCCTATGCAGCATTTTAATTTCTCTTTTAGTTCTTTCAAACAGCTTGGCAGGCAATTCTCCAAGAGAATGCAGATAAATGCAGAAGCAAATTAAGAATCTATCTGCGGTTCAGGTTTTCTCTCACTGTATTTGTTATATGAATATTAATGCATTTAATGTCATCCATTATTCCCACTAGTGCAATACAAGGTGAATTCATCATCTAAAGATCTCCAAAGGTAAGTTTTCATTAAAAATGAAAATTGAATTTTCCCATCTTCCATTACCAAAAGATGCATTTAATAGGACTATTTACAGAACCACTTGTATATTCTCACCAGCATTTCCAATTCTCAAGGATTAAAGAAGAGTTCACTGACTTACTTGTCTGTGGGCATCTCTGAGGTAAGTATCATAACCTGTACCCTCCACATGGTATGATGACTTTGCTTCATCAGGTACAAGACAGAGAAAACTGAAGAGAAAAAAAGTACATTAATGACTATATTCCACAGAGCACCAGATCAATATTTTTTCATCATCTGTAGCACTGTACACACAATTGGCTGGCTCATTAATCCACAGTCTCTACCATAACTTTATGTGAAAAACAGAAAACATAAAATCTATTTAAGCCTATCTATTCCAACTGTTTGTAGCAAGGTATATATTTGAGAACTTTTGTATCTGGCACTAGAGGTAAAGTCATCAGTGGAAACATTTTCTGAGAATCAGCAGACAGAATGGAGATTAAAGGGAATATTCATAAATAGGTCAAGTATTTGCTAAAGGTCAGACTCCATCTTACTAGAGCTAAAACAAAACATACTTAGGTATAAATGAGCCAAAAGAGAAAAAGAATTACAGTTAAAATTCTACTTAACCTACTTCATAGGTAATTTTATTTACCAGTTGTGTCAAAAAAATTAACATCTAAGACACACAGGAGTATTTGCATATAAATGTCCCTGTTACAACTGTAATTGCCTTTGTCAGGTATACAGTCAAATACTCTGTCCTTATTACTTCATCAATATCTGACCTAAAATGTACCAGGAAATTCTGAATAATATTAGTAATTTTAAAAAAATTAATTAAACCCATTGAAATTTCTGGACAGCAAAATAAAACCCAGTCTTTGGACCCCGATTCCAAATTTCAGCCTTCACCATACCCCAAGAACTGCTGGACACTCCTGTGGAAATTATATGCCAGAAATACGTAGTAGCTGACTTTTCATGTGCAGTTCATCTTACCTCAAAAAATATAAATTTGCAGAACACTGAAAATCAGAAAACATTTCTATTCCCTGATGGAGGTTACACGAGGTGAATTTAGGAGAATTCTTTGTGTCTTTGCTCCAAACCATGTCCACCATAAACTATAAATAGTGAAACTGGGGGAAAGAGGGCAAGAAGTGATGATGTCACTCTGTCCTGGCTGTCCCTGGGCTGTTTGCTTCCTTTGGCTAACACCTTTGATTATTTCTGGGCAGAGAGATAGGTCAGCACTGACACACCAGTGCTGCTCTGCTACCAAGCACTGACAGAGCAGACAGCCCTCGTCCTAATATTAGCTCCTAAGAGAATTACCATCACTAAGTTGCTTAGAGCAGAGCTTGTCCTCTTTGTGGTATCCAATTTGCAGTGATTCTAACAGGCACTGAGGTATGTCACAGGTGGCACAGGTGCCCTCTGACTTTCAGAGAACAGAAGGTTATGGTTACCATGGCAATTATTTCCTTTTCTGTATGTGTTTGAAGTTCTAAGGAAGTTTGAAGCGTTTTTTTCCCCTGAAAGGTTTATGGCAAGACTCCCCAGACTTGTCCAGGAAGGTCAAGTCCTGTAACAGCATTTTAAGAACAGAAAATACTTCTGCAAAAAGCAACTTTTATAATCAACGAGGTTTTAATGGTGAATTCAAAGTATTCAACTATTAGCTGCAAAGTTCTTCTATTTTTCTCATTTATGTCGAATTAATGCAGGCTCTAATCTTTCAGAAGTAGCTTTCTGATAAAATGCCACATAATTTCCTTCTGTGGAGTCATTTTCCCAGCTGGCACAGAATAACATCCATTACAGAGTAGACATTTAATTTGCACAGTGTGTGCAGACACCCACACATTCAGACATTTCCTCAAATCTTTGTTTCAACTCACCTATTTACAATTTTATGAACTTCAGTCTTCCCATCATTTTTTGGATGTTCTGGACTGACAGGTGGAGAAGCACTGAGCCACTCCTGAGCTGACAATGTGTTATCTGGAGACAGATCAGTAAATAATGGATCTTCCTCCAGATCTCTGTGAAATTACATTAGACAAAAACATAATCATCCACAGAATGTTATGGAAGGCAGGAAAATCTCTGGGTCATAAGGCAAGCTGTTTTTCTTCTCTGAACAATGAGGATGTTTTCCAGAACATAACAATATCCACATTGTATTAGCTAATTAATATGCAGAAATACCAACCTTTGCAAATACCCAACAATCTGATCAACAGATGAGACATTTTTGACTTGTACAAAATTACTGCATCAAGTCACTTAAAACTTGTTAGCTACATTTCTCACATGAGAGAGCTCTACTCCAGGACATATTTTAATTATTCTAGATGACTAAAATGGTTTGTGTGGCCAGTCCTTACCTTTCCTCCACTGAAACATTGAGTTACAAGAGTTACCTAGCATATATATTTTTTGTAGTGCCTCAGTATTTTAATTATTTATTTTTTGTAGTACCTCAGAAATGTTCTTCCACCAAAACTGACTAGGAACAAATGTAAGCAAGACACTGAAGTTACTGACTGCAAGAATATTCTGACTGATTGCCAATAAAATATGAATTATATTTAAGCTTGCTGGGTGCATAAATAAATTGAGACACGAAGACCTCTGAGTGTCCACTGTTCTGCAAAGAGGCCTGTGGTAATTTTAGACTTTCTGTTCCTGTACTAAGAGTTTCCATAAGTTGCTGATGTAGGAATTTCTGCATCATTTTACAGATATGGATTAATACATAGAGCATTCACGTGCTCTCCAGGCTCACTTTTCTTTCAATTAATGGAAAAATAAAAAACCATTTTGTTCTAAAAATAAGCATCCAAGTTACTTGTTGTGAAAACTTCTCTTAAAAATGAAACTTACACTGCTCCAGCAATCTGTCCATTCTCTACTACATCTTTATCTTCTTGACAGGGAGGCTTGTATTCCATGTAGTTTCTTTCTTCCAAATTTCTCAGAACCAAATTATAAAGAATGTGCTCGTTGGGTTTTTGCAAAAGGTGCTCAAACATTCGTAAAGTCATTATGCTGATCTGCAACAGAAAGAGTAAAACTCAAGAAACTGATGCACTGCTTTTTGCCTTTTATCTGCTTTGTCCCTCCTAGAACATTGCAGTCACTTACTGACATTATGGAAGGAAAAATCATAAGAAAAAATAGGAAATTATGATGCTACATGTGATGTAAACACGGATGAAGAGTTCACATACATTTGAAAATCAAGATGGGAATGCATTTTTTTCTGTAAAAAAACCTGTTCTGAAATCTGTCAAAATAACAATACAAAGAACATACAGAGAACACATAATTTAACTTTCTGTTCTACAGTCAGATCCGTGCTGGAAGATCGTTATCATTGGGCAAATGAGACCCACAAAAGGACGTGAAGTTAGTAATAAATACTCAGAAAAAAAGATATTGTGACTAGGTCTATAGGCTAAGATTTTTACATGGAGATGTTATGTAGGCTTTTAAAGGAACATTGACTTTAAGCAAAACAAAGACAGTTTTTCAAGACTGCTTGAAAGTGCTTAGCTTTGCAAAGATAACTAATTTACAGAGATAACTCATTCTGACAGGGTGAGCAGGTACGCATACGGAAAAAATGGATATGAGAAAGCACAGATTTTGTATTTCAGGCAAGATTGGTTTTTATTTGAAAAAGTAGAGGGCTGAGGTTGTTTCATGGAAGAAAACAAGTAGCTTCTGAGAAGGGATTTCACTGAAGTAAATTATTTAATTATTTAAATGATGCTTACTGTATGTAAAGAGCTTAAAGTTATCACATCATCTTTTACATCTTTTAACTGGCTTTGCATATACTCTCCAACAACACCTAATTCATATAAACCCCGAGTTTTCATCTGTATCTTATGTGATAATAAGACAGAATTGTCACAACATGGAAAATAACAGCAACAAATTAAAATGCAATTACAAATGCAAATACAAATGCAATTACATCTATCTTACAGATGAGCAAGTCTAACTCAGTATGTATAGTGGGCATGCAAATTCACCAAAAAATCTTTACGAATAAAAAAATAAATAAAAAGAAATATGCTAGGTGGAGAAAACAGCTTGACTTAATTTTTTAAAAAGGAATTTATATCTGGCTGGGAGCCAGAATTCTCTTTCTTGGCAAAAAACGTTACTTGACACAAATATGAAAAGGCCTCACAGCAGTGCCTTTGCAGACTCTCCACACTCCAGAACTGCCCAGCAGACATTCCTGTGTCAGATCAGCCCTCACCTCATCAGAAATGTGATCACAGTGCTCGATCAGCCTGTGTCGCAATGGATGCCTGTTGATGTCTGCCAATGTTTCTGGCTCTCTCTGCTCCCCAAGTATAAAATACACCAGCTCCTGCAGCAGCACATCTGAAGTCACCTGACGAACAATGCGGTGCAACAGTGCAGTTGACGTGAGGATTCCAATCTCTGAACTGAATGAAACATTTTCGTATCAGATATGGATTGGATTTCCGCCCCCAAAACCCAGCCTGATTCAGATCCTGTTCTGCTGTGTCTTGTAGGATGCTACTCACGTTTGCATCAGCTGAGGTTCCATAACATCAATGAAGAATCGTTCCCGCACAGCTTTTGCCATAGCAACAGCAGTCGTCTGAAACAAAAGTACAAAATGGTGTGTCTCAAACTCAGAAGCTAGGAAACAACTGGAACTACTTATTTTCTGAATATAATTGTATCATCTGAACATATTTCAAACCTTTTGTGCTTCTTTGATGAGTTGATCACAGTAGTCAAACCAAGAAAGAAACGAAATCAATGCTCTTTTCCCTGGAAAAGCAGATGCATCTTCTTTGTGGCTATAGGAATCCAAGCTAGAGCACACAGAGAAAAAGTATTTATTTAGTCTACAAGTAACTGAAGAATCTTGCACTCCATTCTTATCGAAGCTAACAGAATAATTAATGACCTACTTGTAATGAAGGGAACGTTAAAAAAGCTCTTCTGCCAGTCTCTATGGATCTGGCACTGCCATCACAACACAGGTATTTAGTGCATACTAAAGGATACACAGAATGTACAGCACAGGAACCCTGGTTAAGTGTTTCTGGAGTCAGAAGGGAAAACTGATCACCAAGTCTGTTCTCCCAGAAAACACAGACCACAGAAAATGAATCAGTAACTCCTGTACTCACAGAACCATAAAATGAAGGCAATTGTTCTTCTCTACTCTAAGCGACCTCAGGCAAGTCGACCAAAACCACACGGTGTATACCTGAACTAGACTGTATCTTTCAGAAAGAAACATCTATCTCAATTTAAGGGCTCTAAAGAATAACGAATACACCACCTTCTTGGTAAAAAACGCCACTGGTTATTTATCCCACAATTTAAAGCTGTGGGTTTTCCCCTTCTAATTTCAAACTCCAACCACCAGAAATTTTGCTAGGCATTTTGCAAATACCTACTTTCAGTACTAACAGATCAGAAGCAATTAGTAATAATGAAGGCAGAGTGGGGAAGATACATATTCTAAGAATCTAAATTACAAGCAGTTAGGATAACAGGAATGTATCTTTTGCTTCATGCTGATGACTTATGCAGTAACTCTTTCCTTCTTCTTTTTTGCTGCAAAAATTTTGCAACAACAGCCTGTTAACAAATCGACCCTTCCTGGCCCTCACAGCAGCTTACAATGCCCACTGTGTACAGTGAGGAGTTTATGCTTCCTAAATCCTTGACATCTGCATGAGAGCATAATCCATACTTGATACTACAGTGACACCACTATAAACTGCTGATGTAATCCAGTGGAAAAACTTGACCCCTGAGGAATCTCTGGCAGGGACTGGCAGGCAGACCTGGCCCCGTGTCAGACATCACATGTACACTCGACATGCGAAGTGCACCACTGTGCTGTATCTCAGCATTGCCCTTGAGGCTTTAGCGTGTCTGTGGGGGGGAATATTTTATACACATTATCTACCTATCAAATTAGTTTCAGGGAAGGGTGTAAAGTCACTTTGAGTATTAAATACAAAAATAAAATTCTTACCCCCAGTTAATTGCCTCCACTGTTTCAATGTCTAAGGGATCCAGTGACTGAGGCAAGGCTTTGTAGAGGGTGGCCAGCCTGTCTGTCAACAATTCACATAAACAAGTGCTTTGAGTCAGGCACTTGGCAGCTGCTGGTTCTGGCAAACTCACCAAAAGCATGAGACCTTCACAGGCCTTCACTGCTATCCGGCCATCCTGGCAGAAGGGCATGGAAGAATTAATCAGAGGGTGAATGAAGGTCACTGGAAATCAAGAAGCAAACACCTCCCAAATAAAACCTCTTCATTCCCCCGCAGTGACTGAATGCATTTATTTCTTTTGGCTTTTCAGTCATTAACTCTAATGAATTTGGATGCTACAAAATAAAGATTTTGCACACCTGATTTTGTGTGAAATACAAGAATGCCAGCTGCAATCTTCCAGCTGACAGAACTAGAGCTTGAGACCAAGATACTAAATCCTGTGAACTACTCATGTAACAAACATGAGGTACAGTGGTAGACTCGGTTTTCTGCCCTCAGCACTGCTGCAGTAATTTGTAGGCTTACCCAAACCTCTTCTAAATTTTCTGAAAGAATCTAAGTCTGAATTTGAGGATTGAGCTGGATAAGACACATACAGCAGGCTTTTTAAAAAAACTCACTCCTAGAGATAGCTCAGTGCCATTACAAAGAGAGTGGGTTTGGTTAAGTCAGAACAATTGAAAGTAGTTTTAAAAACATTCTCCTGTGATATATTTAACCTTCTGTTTATCCTGTGTAGCTTTTCTGTGAAACATACTGCACCCTATACAAGTTTCTTTAAAAAAACACTTACATTGCCATCAACAAGCTTAGTATTAGTTTTCTAAAACAGTATTTTTACTTCAATCTGAATTTGCAAAGAAAACCACCAATTTACAAAAAACGCCTGCAAAACCCCTAATTTCACGTTTTATAGCTAAAATGCAGTGTGTTTATTCACTCCCTCTGCCCACTTCACACAGCATCCAACTATTTCATTTTATCACACAGATGGAAAAAAACAAAAAAAGTAACCCCAACTCACAGGACTTTTAGTGAGGTTTAGTAGAGAATTCACTAAATTATAGTCTTGGTTTGGACAAGCAGTGGAGGACTCAGGTGATGATGTGACATTGAGTTCATCCAGACTGAACGAGAGCTCCTCTGCCTGCTGTGGGAGCTCATCTTCGTTCTCCATGTGCTCAGCTCCAGCAGCACCAGGCGTCTCCTCAGGCTGGCCAGGCTGTCCCGTGTCTGTTGTCACAGACTCGTGGTCTTTTATCATGTCTTCTGTGATTACACTTGCTGATCCTTGGAGAGCCATTGCTTTTAACTTATTCTGCAAAGCATTTTTTGGAATTACACAGCTGAAATTACTGTTCATCCTGAAGCAGGAGTTTACTAAGAGCAATTTTTTTAACATCAACATTTGAAGTAGTCAAAGCTGGATACAGTAACCATGTAAAACGTAAAGGGCTGTGGGAGCGTGGGTGTTTCATAAACCTAGGACACTTTTAAATCTGCTTAAATTTCTCTTAAGCCCTACATCCTTTGCTTCAAGGCTGAATATGCCATTTATAAAAGGATGGCAGCTTTTTCTTTCACGACTGAAGGCACATATTCACTTGACTTGGCCACAGTTTAGTAGAGGTTTTTAATTTATCTTATGGGTGGCACCTTTAGAACTTAGCACTCATTATAAAACATTCCTTTCTGTGTCAAGGCATCACTTTCATCTAATGGCTGAAACACTATTTCCAGTTGGAATCGCATAAGTACAATAATTCTAAATTTCTTGATATTTTACCTTCACCAGAAAAAGGGAAGAAACACCTTTTCTGACAGCAGAGTACTCTCAAATTGTGTTTCTCAGGAAGAAAAAATTGAGTAGATTGAATGGACAGAAGATATTAGAAGTTACCATTGGACACTGGATACTGTAAAAGGTCAGACAACCTTCTTGGAAGCTCCAAACCCTCTCTGCTTTGCCTGAAAAAAGGCAACCCATCTGTCTTGCCATAAATCTGTCTCTGGTACATAAAAAGGCATCTAAATCTGTGCTCTGTGATACCATGAAGAAACTCACAGAAAGGCAAGAATTCAGTGTTCTGGCATAAGCGCAGGTGTAGAATACTTTATTTGAATCATAAATTAGAATGCAGCACAAGACATTTCTTTCAAGTGAGAACTGCAGTGAGATTATAAATCCAAACGGTTCCCTTCTCTATGATAACACCAAAATTATCACAAATATATCTCAAGCATTAATAATTTAAACGACTAACCATTTGGGGTTAATGGCTTTTAGTACAGACAAACCAGCAGGGACTGAGTACATGTCAGGCAGCAAACTGGAGAGCTGCTGTGAACACTTGCTCGAGTGCCGTGCATTCATTGTGGGGAATCTGCACTGGGCATTGTGATGCGCTCACAGAAGCAATTCCCTGGAGAAGCAAACCAGTGATAAAAGCAGCAGACTGCATGCTATAAAAGAAGGATGATCTTTGAATGCAGTAGAAAAATTACTGCTTCAATACAGTTTTGGGTTTTTTTGACAGAGTGCAAGGCTGGCAAAGCAACAAAAAGGTGTCTGTCTGAACTGAGTTTGTCTATTACCAGAGCTTCTGCAGTCCTTCAGTATCATCCCATCTTCCTCATCAATACACAGAAATATCACAGTGACCCTTGCACATAAAGGTTGGAATATCATTTCAATTCTGGACTTTACACTGTTGCTGGCACCACTCAAGCTGCAGGCAGGGTTGTTAAAGGGAAAAACTTCGTTTTTTCAAAAACTGGGCAATATTTGGTAAAATACTTATTTGATCTTACAGTGGCTTATTACTTCATGTCTGGATTCTTCTGCCATTTGAAAGGCCATTGTTTATTTAGCTAAGGCAGTGATGAGAGAACTAACATATGAGTGCCTCTAGAAATGTGTTCATAGCTCATTACTCTTATGTTGGCAGGTGACACAAAGCAGTTTGTACATTGAACAACACACAGGCAGAATCTTTGTGTGTATTTAAGCTTCCTATTGTTTAATCATGCAATTCTGCAGCTCAGCTGCTCACCTGCCTCCTGCAAAGGTGTAAAACAGGATCCTGAATGACCTAATAGAAAAGGTTACATAAAACACATATTCAGTGCTTTCTAAACAAAGTACTCGTGAATTCAGCATTAACAAAGAGCCGAGAATATAAAACCACATTTGTATTTTTGTGATCTGTAAACATCAGTTTTAAAATCGGTGGTGAATACCATGTCTAAATTCTGATAGATTTAAAAAGAGTTCTATGAAAACATCAAGTGATATCACAGCTTATGAGAATCTCTATTTACTTTGTGGTGAGAAATATAAAGGTGATAATTCATAGTACTGAAACTAGAATTGAATAGTGAAACTGCTGTTCATTTTATAAAATGAAGGTACAACTATTTAGTTACTACATTAGAACTTTTTCAAGGTCTCAAGAGCAGAAATTGAAGCACAGAGTTAAGTGTCTTTGCCACGATCAATTGCAAGGAGTATCTCACCTAAAATGAGATGAGGCAAGTTTACCCTAAAATATAACTGCGATAGAGATGATAAATAAACATTACAATGTATCTTCCAGCTCTCTGAACAAGAACTAGGAAAACTCAGTTTAAAAAAAATACATTAATATCAAAATAAATAGGTAAATAAATAAATAAATAGTGTAGGGAACTTAAAGTTTTAAAAAGGTAGAATCAAGTTCTTCAAGTTCTTATTTCCACAACAGATATAACTTGCCCAAACGATGCAGTTATGCCATGCAGGCTTACTGGTTAAGCAATATAGGTGAAAGATTTCATCTATATTTATTAACCAATATAATGTAATTATATAAATATATAAAATTAAAAATATAAACCAGCATTCTATCAACAAACTATTAAGTATGGAATCATACAAAGGAAGTGAGTTTGTACACACTCCATTTTTTATGTTCATGAAATCCTGTATAAAACAATTTGAAACAGCCAAAGAAGGAAGCAAAAATAACAGATATAACACTCTGGAGTGATCCACCTGCATTTCATGTCATAAGTGTTGGAGATTGGAGATAGAAATGCCACACAGAATTCTGTAAATTTACCCTTTCATGCATTTGAAAGTGATCAAGTCACAACAGCACCTCTAAGAGGCCAAATGTGAACAACCAGAATATCCCATTCTAATGAGGCACAATTCTGCACCCCACACCACTGATCAGGAAACAACCATCACAAGTTGTGAAGACAAATGCTTTAGGCTATAACACCTAGAATAATACTGTGAAGTAACAGGAGCTACAAGAAATGTTTGCCAGCTTGCCTGAACTCCACAGCCAGCATTTTGTGAAACTAGAGACCCCTTTGAAACTTGGAATCATCTGTTTCTTAATGTTGGAATATTGCTGTTTTGAGAAAGAGCACTAACAAAGCTCTCAGGTTTGATGGCAAGGGCACTATTTAAGAGGCTTAAACAATACAACTTACACAAATAGCACTAGAAGTAATCCTGATTTTTTTACAATTCTACCATATTTTGCATGTAATATATGCAGTAGTTTGCTTCTAAGTGCTTCTAATGTTTAAACACAAACTTTTCAATCCTTACAGCATTTCTGCTCCTTGTACAACTACAGCGGATAAAATGGCAATCAGGATAATAACTAAGGTAAAAATAATCTCAAAATGGATTTTTGGATTTACTACTGAGATGCAAATGATAATCACATACTTAATGGAAAATAACATCTTTTTGCAGCTTAGCAGCCTCTGCTGTCACAGATTTTGTTTGTGGAAAGCTTGTAAAATAGTCCTGAAGGAATATTTTTCAGCAAAGTATCACATACTTAATAGAGACTGTGTCACCATAGGAAACAGCAAAGTGGGAGCAAAAGGCTAAATGGACTTTCATAAACCAAATTTTTTTATGCTCCTTCTTAACAGGAACTGAAAGTCAGTCTATAAACTGTTTATCTTCCCACTCTGATTTCATAATGCCACATGTTAAAGGAGGCAGTGAAGACACAGGCTGTCTTACAGATAGAGGATGGTGTCGTATTGTAGACTGTGAGCTGGCACTGCAGCTCCAACATATGTGCCACTACCAAATAAGGGCCCAATCCTGCAGAACACTCAGCAACTTGCAGGGTTTCAGTGCCCCCTGCAATCTGTCCCTTGGTCTTCATGGAGATGACAAAAACATCCCTCACATACAGTGTTCTACACTGCAATTCGTATCTCTACTCTAAAGGCACTTTCACTGCAAGGGAAAAGGACGTTGGGCAGGTGTATTTGTGAGCCCTGAAAGAAATTCTTACGAAAATCAGATGTATAAAGTCTCTCGGACAAAAAAAAAATTCCGAACAAGACTTCTAAAATCATAGGATAAAAAATAACAGATGGAATGAAAACTAAGCTATGAAGCACAATGTGACACCACCAGTTCTCCACCAGATTTTGTACATGACACAGTAAATACACCTGTAAAATTCTGAATTGATTTACTCACCTCAAGGAAGAAGTTGACCAGGTACGGATCCTGTTTCAGCTTTGCACATACTATACAGAGAAACTGAATTTCTTCATTTTCTGTTGGTGTTGCCAGAACCTCACCACACAGTCTGATTAATTTCTGTCACATAAAGTGAACAATTAAGACAGAAAGTTATTGCTTTTCTAGGAATAATAGACTGAATTATTTTTCTATATACACACTACAATTATGTATGAGTATTGACTGGAACATTTGCTCTGGATTTAGACTGCTACGAACAAGTTTTCTCTATTATTTATGACTTGCATTGCAGCAGCAGTCCAAAGCTCTAATCATCAGCACGTTAAAAAAAACCTGATATGGCTCCCAAGCAATTTCCTTAATTTGCTTGACAATGGAAGAATTAAAGATAACATTAGCTACAGCAGAATAAAAGAAACTTGTAATGCAAAAATATAGTTTACTTAAAATCTGAACAGTACCTGCACTGGCCTATGCACATTTATGTGGGGAAGAAGAGGCTGCCGTATTCTTCCAAGAAGTTTTGTATAAAAAGCCAGAACTTGCTGTTTCATTCCTGGAGGACACTGAAAAAAAACCAGATGAAGATCAAAAAAAATACAATAAATGAGGAGAAAATTACAGATGTAATTTTTGCACTCAGAATGGCTAATTAAACAGCGAGAATTTAACCGAAATATTTTTTTACAAAGTCATAATCTGTTAACATATTACTTTTATCAATATTAACAGAGATCAATAAAAAACATTGCATCTCATTACTGTTTCCTCTTTCAAATTATTCATACTTTCAATTAATTGCTCTAGGGCAAACTTCTACCAATCTTTCCAGAAAATATTCCATATCATTACAGTGATAAGGGGAAATTAACTCGGAATTAATTTGCTACAGGTCAGATGTCTTTTAAGGTACTGTGCCACAAAATCCAGCAACTCAGTGAGTCAGTGCATACAAATACAGAATGATAAACTATAAAAGTCTTATTACCTACAGAAGGTTTCTTGAAGTCATGAGCAATTAACCTTAGCCAGCTAAAGCGTTTATAAATGCACAGATGGCCCAAGACAAGAGAAAGCTGTTGCCTTCCCTGAGCAGAATATAAATCACAAATATCTGTGGGACATGCAGACCCTTGTTCTACTGTCCCTAATGCACCACATCACATGAAAGGACTTTCCTATCTTCAGATCTGATGGCTTGTGGGACTTTATAAACCTTTGTTTCTAGCTAAAGTCCCCCAAACTAATGTGTTCTACCCATTAATAAATGCTGTTAATTTTAATCCACATAATTTCCCTCATCTGGTTTCTGTATGTCTGAATGCAGCTGAGGTGGCAACAGCATAACCTGGCTCTCCTTTCTAAGTAATTATCTCTAGATTTTTAATCCCTAATCACTGCTGAGTTGTCAAGCAATCCTTTGAACAGAATGGCAAAATATGAACCATCAGGGCACATCAACAGTAATGTGGTAAGTCTAACTGACTGCTGTGAAAGGGAACTATTCAGTTTGCACCAGATCTTTGCAACATCTTGCAAGCACTGAACTGTGTGTTTACTTCAGAAGTATCAACTCACAAGTGGCAAAGTGTAAAGACAGGCTGTACAAGAATTGCCTGTACAGACATATTTGTATGAGTACAGAATGACTTCTCTCAACTCTTAGAAACACACTACTAATTACCAGCTTCACATATGTCACCATTTCATCTTGGTTTCTTGACAAAATTTAGAGATTACTGAATGAGCTGTATTTCTGAGCAAGTATCTTTAATACAGCAGTGTTGAGGTTTTAATCCCAGCTAAAGCAGGTGTTTTAGCCTGACTGTAGGACAGCTGGTACAGTAACAGGTACTGCAGATCTCTGGCTCTTCCACAGCAAGGAACATCTCGGGCTCAGACAGCCACTGTCGTGTGTTGCCTGTTTATGTAAAATGGATCAAAAACTCATGACAATGTGTAAAAGATTGACTGAGAAGGAAACCCTGGAGAGCTCAATTTATCCTTGGAACAGCATCTGCACTGTGATACAAAATGTTCTACCACAAGGGCTGCCAAGTGAATTCACCCCATGATCCACCCAACCCCACACATTTTCGCTCAGAAGTCTGCCAAGAAACACACGGATGGACCAAGACCATGGAGGTAACTTCATGTGTGCCACAAAGCAGACATCAAGAACCAGACAACACTGCCAAGGTATGAAAGCTGTCTGGGGATCAACTCAAATTAATGCTTTCTGATACCAAAAGTTTTTCTGAGCAATAGCTTAACACACTCAGAAAAGTTAATTGAAAATTTGTATTTAACACAGCACTTTTCACCGAAGAATCCCCCAACATTTACAAAGGGCAGAGAGGGATAATATTGTCTTGTAGTAGCCAGAAAAACTCTAGACTGAAGAAAAATGTTTCTCCTATTTCTAGTTTCACTATCAGCATTATCAGAGTGGTGAGTCTCAGGGTGCTCCCAGGGGTTGTCTGATCCTGATCCCACCTGTAAAAGGCTGTTATTTGTAATATGCTGGTAATATGGTCATATACATTGGTATATTTGTAATATAAGCAAGCAGCTCTTTGCTAGTTCAGTGTCCTACACTACCACCTACTGTAGAACTTCAGTCTCTATCACAACTAGGAGCTCACACAAGAGATAATCTGTTCTGCTGAGAGATACATACATCAGCTTTTCCTAGTGTGTAGAGTGTCTCCAAAATCTTGTGATGTAGCAAATATTCCATACATGGTCCTGTTTCACCCGATTCCCTCTCATTTTCTTCTTGAACTAGAATATCCAACATCTGCTCCAGGTGAGAGGGAATGTTGGTATCAGTCACAGGAGCTTTGTCATCTAAAGCAAAGAAACAGGCAATTAAGAATGATTTTAAAATTTCCCTCATATTTAAGTTCAGTTCCAAATTTATATATAAATTTGGACCTATACACATGACATCCATTTAAAGAACTTTATATACACTGCAAGTTTTTAACGTGTCTTAACGAAAACTTTCAGAACTGTATCTGAACACGAACACTGGAATATGGATTGGGCGGATATCTGACCTTGCAATGGGGAAAAGATGAAGTGCCAAAATTCAAAACATTAATTAATTACACAGTCAAAAGAGGAAAATTTCTACTGCCAGACAGCAAGCCAAGGGATAGAAAGGTACAACTCTCAAACTTCTGTTTAGTATGCACTGGGACTTGATAACTTCCTCTTTGACACTTCACACAGTATTCTCAAATCTATGAAAGGCCTCTAACATCAGCTTAATTTGCGGCTGATCAGCTCCTTTATGACTTCGGTAACTAAATAAATGGCTTTTCTGCCGTAACAACAAAGAAAATTCCAACTCTATGCTGTTTATTCTCCAAAAGCTTTTACATTTGTCTTTTTTATTTTCTGCATTTAAATATAATTCTGTCGATCATGATGAAAGAAAGGGCAGGATATCGATTTTATTATGTTAAAATCATTAAACTGCAGTGGATTTATGCCACTGGCAGTAGGAGCTGGCATTCACATATTGTAGAACATATCCACACATGAAGATTTTCCTCTTTTATTGTTTTCAACTGAATTCTACTTGAACAACTATCCTAGGGAAATGGTTACTACTGTTTATGCAATAGTCTAAAAATAACTTGCCACTTGCATGCAACTGGCAACAAGATCACACAGGGAAACTGCCATGTCAGAGTGATTTTGGTCTCTGCCACAACCTCCAGTTAGCCTGGAGTGTTTTGCCTGAATTTCCTACACGTAATTCTGTTCCTACTGCAGAGGATAAAAATATATCCACTGAGGGGAAACCTGTTTTTCAAAAGACTTCTGAAACTCTGGGAGAGAGGTCAGCTTTTATTCTGCTCCACGTCACTGCAGGTGTCAGTTTTCCCTGCCACCCTGTCATTTCCACCTTTGGAAACATCACATAGTGTTCCAAAAGATGGGTACTTGGAACTAAGGGTCATGTTGCCGTTTTACGAGTAAATATTGATATAAACAAGATCATCAGACACAACACAGATTCAACAGCTCTTCCAGCAGAAGGTCAGAACGACAACATTCACTTTTAAAACATAATTGTTTCATAACTAGGTCCAAAATAAAAAATTTACATGCTGCATAATTGTTGAAAAAAAAAAAAACCAAACCAGGGAAGAGTTTAAAAACAAAGCAACTATAGCCATATTTAATAATAATATCCATTTTTAAGAAGAGCAGTGTAACATCTGAGTAAGGTTTAACAAAACTAGTTGACTATGTTATCAAAATACTTTACACTGAGACAACACACTAAAGCAAAAACAACTAATACTGAGCACATGGAATCCATTTGTGTCTGGTAAAATCTATGACCACAAAATTACTTTTGTTAAAATCTTGCAAAGAAAAAGAAAATCCCTGATGCAAAGCAACAGAAATGTTAACAGCAGGGGCTGCATTTCTGCAGCTGTCTGTTTAGATTAAACAGAGTATGTGAAGGCAGAAACTGGGTCAGATATAAAAAGGTGCAGTTCTTTACACAGTACTCAGGAAAGACTTCAACCATTTTTCGTGCCTACTTTTACAGATGGAAGTACATGATATTTTTAATTACTAGTTATTATTGTTGGTATTTTGATTAAAAACGTGGCTCTTTTCAGTATTTCTTCATCTTTACTTTTTAAAAACACTGACATTGTGAATTCTAGTTCCCACAATAAAAAGACAAACTCAGAGTGCTTTCTTCTTTTACCTGAGGTCTCTATGTAGTAATGGGTGATTGCCTTCCAGTGGTAAACAAAATCTTCTTGTAATGGAAGGGAAGGTGCAAGCTATGGGGGAAAAACCACAACAAACAAAAACCAGTTAGAAACGGAATGAACAAAGTGGCTCAGAGCTTAAATTCAATTTTATCTTACACTTGGAAGTGCTGCAGATAGTGCTACAATTGTTGCTCTCTGCTCTTTTACCTTTAACAAGGACTACGTTCATTATTCATGGCTGAGCCCCATGCCACACTGCCTGCCTTGTAAACATCAGTAATAATCTCTGTGATGTCTCTATCAGCAGACAATCTATTTGAAGCAACAAAAGCAATTGCTCCTACAGCAAAGCAACACTAGAAATGTATGTTTGTATTGTTTAGACCACAGTTTTGTTCTGCAGGAAAAAATCATGTTCTTTTACATCTGCTCTTGATGCCTTTTTCCTTTTCTGTACACTCTGTTCTCTTCTCTCCCTCTGCTCCCTTAAAAATACCAATTAGTTGCTTCATCCAGTTTTTGCCATGCCTTTTTTCCTGTTAGCCACAGCTTCTTTTAAAAGATCTTTGTTCAGTTTTAAGTTTGGGTTTGTTTTGGGTTTGGTTTTTTTTGTACATTTTTGGTTTGGTTTTTTTTAGGCCCATACCCAGAGCTTGGCGGGTTGTTTTTATTTTTGTTTGGGTTTTTTTTGTTTGTTTGTTTGTTTTAACAAATGTGTTTCTTATTTCATTTCTGCAAGAAAAAAAAAAAGTTGCTTCTTTCCTGGAGGAGTTTGGGATGGCTGGCTGGGCGTGAGCAGCATCCAGGAATAACACTGTGTGAGAAGGAAACTCAGCCCCCCACGCAGTCACCATCAGCACTGCTCCTTCCTCACTGAGACACAGGTGGCCTTTGGCCCATTACACCACAGGCAGACTGTGAAAAAAGGACCACAATCATTTCAGCACTCTGCTCTCCAAAGCCAGAGCTGAGACAAGCACTGATTTTGTGCCTATGAATGTTCTGAGCTGGTAAAATCAGGAATCCTATAGAGAAAACCCCAACCATTCAATAGGTCACATGAGGATCTGCTGTTATTGAGGCCTAATCCTAATTGCTTGAGGCTTTTCTGGTTCTTTTGACCACCAAGTCCTCAAGTCATCCTTTTGCAGGTCATCCTGAAATAGGGGGTTATCACTTGACATGGATGGCAGCAATGAGCCCTGTGGGCAAAGAGAAAGAATCCCAAGTAGAAACTGGTGTGTCTGTTCTGGAAGGATAAGGAGTTGAATATCCTGACAGGATATGGAGTCCAGTCCTCCACAGAATCTCAGAGGGGCTGAAGTTGGAAGGGCCTCTGGAGATCATCCAGTTTAGTCCCCCTGCTACAGCACAGCCACCTAGAGCTGGCTGCTCAGGAGCATGTCCAGATGGCTTCTGAATATATCAAAATATGGAGACTCCAGTCTCTCCAGGAATCTGTGCCAGGCTCAGTTATCCTCACAGGGAAAGGTTAACTGAAGGAAGTTTTCTCCCCAGGAGCTACAGATACCACATTTGAGACTAATAACTCTGAACTCCTCTAGTGTCTTCCCACAGGGTCTAAAATGTGTTGTGCTGTCTCAGTTCTTGGGCTCAGGGCTCATATGATCTTTACTGGGTGGTGTTCGTCTCTTTGAAAAAGCCCTGTATGTTTTCCACCTCAGTCTTTTCTTTGCCTTTAATTTAAGGACACTTAAGTTTATCTTGTTAAAGTTGCAAAGCCCAGTATATGACAAGCATGCCATGCCAAGATCAGTGGAATGTTAATTGTTAACGGCCCTTCACACACAGGACTTTGAAATGCAAGACTCTGAAAAAGTAGTGGTGCTTGGCAACTATCTCTGCCTGCATCCCGGGTGGAAATGTGCCCTTGGAAATGGAAACCAGGAAATCAAACTGACAGTGCTTATCCTCTCCCTGACAGGCTGTGCACTCACTCAGGCTGGGCACTCAGAGCAGCACATTAGCACAGCAGCTTCCACAGAGTATCTGAACACCCCACACTGCACAAAACTAGTTTATTTTACTGTGACATTTACTAGGTTATTGAAATTCAGAAGAATAACCAAACAAACTGAAGACTGAGCTTATGATATTGTGTATCGTGCTCTGTATGTCACACTAGCTGCACTAAATGTGTATTTCAAGCAATGTAATGATTATTTCTGAAAAAAAAAAGCTGTATCAAAACCTCAACAGCAGCTGATGAATAACCCAGAGACAATTTTTGAGGAATACAGGCATCTCAGAACACTCTATTTCCAAAGTAACACATGATAGATAACATTAAAGATTTATCCTTGGCTGATGTGATTTTCCTCTCCACTTCTCGTCTCATCTGCCTCAAGATGAATTTAGTGCCTCTGAGCAGTGCCAGGAAAAGGATTTCACTTCTCAGCACTGTCAATAATTTATCCACCATGAGAGAGAGCTGTGGATTCTCCCTCCCAACAAACGCCTCTAGGGACTCTTCTCAGAGGTGAAAAAATAATTCAGGGACAGGTCCTGCCCTTTCAAATTAAAATACTCAGTGTTTTCAGAGTCTTCTCTGATCAGGACTGCAAGCCAGACAGCAAACAGAGATAACATTAGCATATGTGTGCAGCCTATTGGGAATACACCATCAGCATTGCCACCAACTGGAGCTGTAACCCCAGGCAGGATTGAGGTAAGTGTTTCCTGATCAAAAACCTCAACAAAAACCCATAAGAAAACAAGCAAGCAAACAAACAACAACAACAACAAAACGAAACAAAAAAAACCCAAAAAAACAAACTCCAAATCAAACAAAACCCAAGCAATCCTCTTAACTTAGTTATTCAGACATGAGATCAAGGTTAACAGCACGACCAAGATACCACCTTATATGTATACAAAGCCAAGCATTGGAAAGCATTAGGAAACACTTGGCTGACATGCTTTAACCCTACTAGGACAGGTAGCACTACTATGAGGTTATAATTCCTATTTCAGGATGCTATCAGCTAAGATGGAATACATGATAAAGCAGCCAGCCTGAATAACCACTCTATTGTGTAAGTACTCATATTTGTACAGAGATTCTGAAGCAAACCAGAATTCCTTGTGAAGGCCATTAATTCCTGCTACTTGTCTAATTTGAAGGAGTTACCTTAAAAATGTAGTTATTTCTCACCATTACATCAGCTGGTTAGGGCATGGAGCTAACAACATCAATGTTGTGGGTTTGATCCCTGTATGGGCCATTCACTTAAGTACTGGACTTGGTCCCTGTGGGTCCCTTCCAACACAGAATATTCTGTGACTCTGTAATTAATCTTGATGCAATTAAATATGTTCTTAGTGATTTCTAATCTCAAAATGAAGTTCTCCTCCTCTGGGGAAAAAAAATCCCCATGATTTTCAAGCCTGCAGTGTAGGTGCTGGTATATGAAACAGCTAAAATTCACTGACCACCACTGAACTGCAGCCCATTGGAGCAGTCTTTGATTAGCAAGATCTTCCATCTGGTGCCCAGCTCCAGCAGCTGGGCTTCCTGGGAGTTAGCTGAACTTAACACATGCTGCCTTATCCTTCTGGTGACAATATGTAACAAATAATTAAAGTCCACTCCTTTCAGGAAAACTGCTGTTCTCAGGAGAGTAACAGATCTTTGACCAGAACTACAGTCTGCTCATGACAAAACCTGTCCAAAATACAATTCCACGTTTTCTAAAGCACACAGAATTCGTGTTTAGGCAGGAAAAAAAATAACATAAAGAGCAAAGAAACATATATATGCACTACTTAACAGCAATTCTTTTGTGCATGTAAAAATCGTTGTATTTTTCATGTATGCTTTTCAAAAGTGCAATTTAATACTGGAAAGGATGGAAACATCAGAAACTGGTGATATGTCTTGATATCTTTATGGCAAATTCACAAAGGAAAAAGAACACTGTATAAAAAAAGTAACAGGTACTGTCTGGTCAGATCCCAGAGTAAAAAAAAAGAGCAGAAACTGGGTCAAAGAGAAAGGAAGGGGAAGTGTATGCTCACTGCCCTGACTGACACTGTCACTTGATGTTTTTCTTCAATCTTACTACTGTACCAGTGTGAATGGTCTGAGAGAAAATGTGAAAAAGGATTAATGCTTGAAGGTTTACTTGATCTTCAGTTGATGAATGCACAGAGTTTATAATGGCCACTGTTCTGACATAAAATTAAGACTGCACATGCTTGCAAATCATGCATTAAATTTTGTTATCTTATTTGTTAACCCCAGTACAACATTAAAACAACGAGTAATGTGAAGTCATTACATCAAATAAAGTGGGTTCAAGAGGAATTAATTCTGTTCTAATCAGTTATGCAGTTCATGATTTTGGAGCACTGCCTGTACCAAGTGACTTGGTTTCTTGCAAAGCTGAGTTTTGCTTCAAAATATAAACAGAAGCTACTTGAACGTATGGTAATGTACCAGTGTCAGAGTGGAATAGTGGGCTGGTAGAGAGGGGGGTCTCAAGAATGTGCAGCAGGCACCAAAGTCTTCATTCATTCAATTGCTTGGTACAAATATTCCTGTTTGACAGCAAATTGCAAAATTCAAGCCAACCAAAATTATATTTTTCCTGCAAGGTACACAGCTCAAAAACACCTTTTGAACTGAGTATTAAGGTGAAAGATTCAAATGCCCAAATCAAATACAAAAGAAAGTCCTTTGAACACTGAGTGGCCACTTACAGACAAGCTGTTTTGTCTAGGGAAACATGAGTGAAAAGATAAGAGAAAAATAAGTCTAACTTGCTGCTTTGTTAGTGTACACTACATTTTGCTGTTTCTGACAATGTAGTGCTCACGGATAGCCCTTTGGGATGAAAGTATATCAGAAATGCATAGCAAAGAGAAAACATCTTGAGGACAAGACATATATAAACTGTCACAGATTTAATATGAAGCCCATGAAGCAACAGCATTTCTATTCTGCCCTCAAGTAACAGAATAAAGACAGCAGTCCTATCCACCATTCCCACTAACATATCCAACACATCCAACTCAATTTAAGGATGCTCTCTTGGCAGGGTAACACAGTGGTGCTTGCTCATCTGGATGCTGCAGAGAAATCCAAAAAGCAAAAAGTATCTAAAATATTGGCAGGATTGACGAAAGAGGTGGCAAAAAATCAGAATGCAATGGTAATGAAAATCAGGAATATGGTCTCAAACACTTGGGCAATTTAGTCAGAAAAGACTGAAAGTTTTGAGTTATTCAAGCAGAATCATAGGAACATAGACAGGTTGGAAGGGACCTTCCAAGACAACCTAGTTCCAATACCACTGCCATGGGCAGGACATTTTCTACTAGGCCATGTTGTTTTAAGCCCCATCCAGGCTAGTCTCGAACACCACCACAGCCTCTCTGGGAAAAAACCTTGGTAAGAAAAAACCTTAGTAAAAAGCATCTTATGTTTGCCTCAAGTACAGTCCTGTCACAAGGGCAGTCAGTTCAAGAGTGACACACTGACAACAAGTAAAAGGCAAATACTGCCATGTCTATCAGACTGTCAACCTTTGGAACTCCTCGTCAGAGTTCAGAGGGATGGCATATTGAGGGTAAGATAACAACGATTATCTAATGGCATGGGAACCCTTACTGCTTAAATGCATCTCTCTAAAGTGGGCCCTGAGGCAGGGCATGAGCATTATGTAAGTGATGTGAAGGAGAAAGGACAGGGCAGAAGGGCTACCCAAACCATTTGGATTTAAGGAAATCCCACACGTGAAAGCTAAACCCAGGCTCTTTAAGTGTATTTAAGTGTCCAGCTCAGCTGAAAACCGTACAGTTGCAACTTTACCTACTCTGGGGTAGGCACCCAAAACTTTTGAGAACTGATTAACTAATTACTGCTGATATTCAGGGTTAAGAATCCAGTTGAGGCTGCCCACATTATACTTGCTCCCCAGCAAAAACAACACGCAAAAATGATGTTCCAAATTCTCTTGGTTCTGAAAACAGCAGGCAGCATCAAAGTGGACTGAGCTAATATTTTGTACTTACAAGTTTTCATTTCCCCATAGCAAAGCTAAGCAGACCACATCTTTTTACTGCAGGGAGAATGAAACAAAGCCGCATACAGCCTCCAAACTGGATAAAAGTTTGTATTTCTCAATTCCATCTTTGTATTAGCAGGTCAAACTTATAAAGTAAGAAACATTCTTAATATCTTTCTGCTTTTGCAATTCCATGTTCCATTCCTAGTATGTGGTGCTTGGTATTTGTCACAATCCTGAAAATGCAATAGTGCAGTATTTATCAGGAGATCCACCAGCGTGGTGGTAGCAGGATGAGGCAATTCTAAAAAGGACACCAGGATTGAGCAACGACAAACAGTATGTTGTTGGATAGTACTCACTTGCAAAATGATGGTACCAATATGTTTCTGTACTTTTGTTCGGGTTTTTAATGAAAAAAGTGTCTAGTCTCTATCTCTACTTTTCTCCTGTTCCATTCAGCTCATTTGTTTTTCTTATTTTTTACTGGATCTCAAATATATGCAGTTATTTTTGTTTATTTTTTGCACAAAACAATAACGTAAACACTCTCCTAATAATAACTTCTGTTGGATCTCTCAAACTGGTAGGCCTGAAAGAACACCTTCTCCTCCACTCCTGCATTTCTCAGTCATCCGCTTTTATTTCTGTTATTCAAAATGTGGCACAGCTCACCACAACAAACTTTCTTCAGTCAGGCAGGCACTAATTTCTGTTTCCTCTCCAATGAAAGTACTGTCTGTTGAAGGCATTCACATGTGGTCAGAATGTTTTCAAATAAAACATTTCATCATTATTTAAAACAGTTATTTCCAAATGCCACTACATCATTAAAAAAGCAAACTAGGAACCTGCAATTAATGAGTACACGATAGACTTTTAAACCAGAACACTCCTGCAGAACTACAGGCTCATATATAGACAGGTATATACTCAAGTGCAATATCAAAGCATACATTAACGCACAAAGGCTGCCCCTCAGATGAGGCAGGATTTGGCATGCAAGCTCTTATTTCAATCATTTGGATTTGGCTTGCAAGCTCTTATTTCAACCATTTCAACATTTTTTCTTCAACGCTTTCCACCTTATTTCACTGCCGATTTTTATCACCTCTTCACACATCTCCTGGACGTACTGGCTTACTGGGAGAGGCGCTGAAAGGCAGGGAATTACTACCAAGACCCCGCCTAACTGAAAAGCAAAAATTAAATGGTGTGGCCAGGCAGTGCGGAACGCGGCCTGCAGCAATGGCAGCTGGCGAACAGGCCCCGCTTCCCCTGCCCAGCACAGCTGGGCGAGTCCCCACCAGGGAACCTCGCTGCACACACAGCCCTGCGTCCCCGGCCAACCTGACCCCACACACAATCACAAAATAAACCAGGGATGGAAAGCGTCCCTTTGAAACTGACAACATCCCGCAGAAGCACCGGGGATGGCGACTATTGTCTGCTGGTCAGGACGAGATGGAAATCCTGGGGAGTTTCCTGATTCCTCTCCTGTATTGTTTGTCTCGCTGAAACAGCCGGGCAATGGCCGGGTGAGGGCCGGGCCAGGGCTGCCCTCAGGCCCGGTGCGGGGCACCGGGGCCGACAGTGCCGGGCGGTGACAGCCCGAGGCCGCCCGGGATGCAGCCGCTCCCTCCTCCCCCGGCACCCCCGGCTCCCCAGTGCCGCGCTGGGGCGATTCGTTCCCTTCCCGTGCTCCCTCCGGAGCCCGCCCGGGCAGCTCGGCCTCCGCCTCCCCGGCCGGCGGCAGGGCCGAGTCGGGAGCGGATGCGCGCCCTGCGGGGCCCCGCCGGCAGCAGCGCCGGCAGCAGCGCCGGGGGCAGCGGGGAAGGGGCGCCGGGCCCGGTCCGAGCCCCCCGCCCCGCGCTCGGCGCTAGGCCCGGATCGCATCCCCGGCGCGGCGTGGCCGGGCCCACCGGCGGCCTTACCGCCTCCACGGCGTGCTGCAGGATGGAGGTGAACTTGGAGAACATCCTGTCCCGCGACTGCAGCAGCCGCTGCCGGGAGGACCTCGAGAGCTCCTCGATCCGCCGCCGCCGCCGCTCCAGGGTGAGGGCTGCATGCGGGGGCCTGGCCGCGGGGATCGGGCGGGCGGGCGCCGGCGCTGCCTCTTGCTCCCCGGCGGACACCGTGGCACTGACACCGCCGGCTGCGCGGCGGCGGCTGCCGAGGCTCCGGCTGTCCTGCAGGGGCCGCCACCCCGCGCACTCCGCTCGGCCCGGCTGTGCCCGCCCCGCTCCGCTCCGCCCGGCCCCGGGCGCTGCCAGCCGGGAGCGCCGCGTTCCTGCCCGGCCCGGCCGCTTCTGCTGGCCCCGGGTGAGGGCGGGGCAGGACACGGGCAGTGAGCGGCCCGCTGCCGTGCTCCGGGCCAGCCTCCGCTTCTGCGAGCAGCTCCTGGGCAGGGAAGTGAATCACAGCCACAGAATGACTTAGGTTGGGAAAGACCTTGAGATCATCGAGTCCAATTTACGACCGAACACCACCGGGTCAACCAGACCGTGGCACAGAGTGCCATGTCCAGTTTTTCCTTAAACACCTCCAGGATGCTGACTCCGCCACCTCTCTGGGCAGTCCATTCCAATGTCTAATCACCCTCTGTGTGAAGAAATTCTTCGTAATGGCCAACCCAAACCTCCCCTGGCACAGCTTAAAACTGTGTCTTCTTCTGCCGCTGGTTGCCAGGGAGCAGAGCCTAACCTCCACCTGGCCACAACCTTCTGCCAGGAGTTACAGACAATGCTTAAGGTTCTCCATGAACCTCCTTTTCTCCAGGCTAAGCATCCCCCTTGCCCTCAGCCACTCTTTATGGGACACTTGCTCCTGACCCTTCCCCGGTTTCTTTGCCCTTCCCTGGACTAATTCCAGCACCTCAATGTCCTTCCTGAATTGAGGGGCCCAGAACTGGACGCAGCACTGGAGGTGTGGCTTCAGTGCAGAAGGACAAGCACTTCCCTGGTCCTGCTGGCCACGCTAGTCCTGAGATAGGCCAGGGTGCCCTTGGCCTTCCTGCCCACCTGGGCACACACTGTCCAGGTGTCTCAGGTGAGGAGAAGGGGTGCCCACCTCGGCAATCCCTGTGCCCAGAGGCTGCCATCAGGCTTCCTCAAAGGTCTCTGGGGTCTCTCAGCATTGTGAGGGTGGAGAGATGGCTGCCTCCACCCTCCTGCCAGCATGGCATGGGTACGGAGCAGCCCTGGCATGTGTGGCAAAAGGCTCAGCTTGCTGTCTGATGGGACATTTTGGGTCTGTCATCATCCACAGGGATGATGAGATCCTCAGGGAACTAACTCTTCACAAATCAGCGTAAGGGTGATGAACTCAGCGGACATGGCACTTTGCAATATGGTTTAGTGACCATGGGGGCATTAGATCAAAGCTTGGACTTGACCATCTGGGTCTTTTCCAAACGTAAATGATCCTGTCTTGTTGCTGCTGGGTGAGAGGCTGGTGGCATGGGTGGCATGGTCCTTGGAGGATACCACAGATGAGAGGGCTTGTAGCAATGTGCACATTACCCATTTCACTGTTTCTTTGTTGGTTTTTTTTTTCCACACAGAGAGAAGGAGACAAAGAGAGCTTTATTTCACCTCTGAATCAAAAACTTCAGAGAAAAAGATCATCCCTCCTATTTTGTGGTGCCACAGGAAAAGCAGAGGTAAAGTGGGGTGAGCAGAAGTTACACATGTAGCTGGCAAGCAGTATGATGCTTTGGGAAAATGTTTGGACACTGAGGAAATTGCTTTGGCACTGGGTAGCAAAGTAAAATGTTGGGAAGGTGATAGACCAGTATGGGAAAGGTAGTAGTACCCTGTAGTACCAAATGAAGGAAAGCTTACACATTAATTTTTGGAGAGGAATAAACACCAGCTCCCTCATATGCTAGAAGTATGCAGAGAAAGATGAATCAAAAGACAGGAAAAAACTACTATTTAACTGCTGTTCTTTAAATTATGTCATCTGGGAAGTCTATGACGATGCTGTGATGAAGTCTTACTAATGATTTCTCTGTACTGATTGCTTTTACTATCCCTGCTTTGCAGGCATGGAGAGCTACAGCCCAAATCCTCCATGGAAGTAAATACTAGTTGTATGTGGACACCTTTGTTGCACTTGTTAAAGAGCAGAGCTATTTCCTTCTCAAAATCCAGAAGTCCCAATATGTAAATATCAATTTTAAAGGTATTTATGTTGTTTTTTACAAAATCTGTTTATTCCCTATTTGTCAACTTACATTCTATACATGTTCACAGGAAATGTAAATTTTCCATATGGGTAGCCATATGATGAAGCATCTCTGTGTTTAGGTGATTATTAACTGGACAGGTGCTGCATTTGGAAGGTGCCTGCATATCTGTGTCTAAGAGAACATGGTCATTTAAGATGCTTCTGCAATCTTTTTTTTTACCTGCAAAAATGTCTTTTAAATGTGCTTGAGATTTCCCATCTCCAAGCAGCAGGATGAATAAAGAAACAGTAAGATATCATAAAGATATAAAAGGAGACAGTTTTATAACTGTGAGAATATTCCTAATCGTACTTAACAATTTATGAAATCATAAATCACAGAATCACAGATGGTGAAGTAAAGCTTTTGTAATGCTTGAGGGCCTCTTATTATTCTAAAAGTGACTGATGTATATAAATGCATTATTATTTAAACAGAACAGTTCATTGTGGTTGAAATTAAGATTTTGGTTGTAAAAGTGACGTCTTATTAAGACTCGCAATGTGAAATGCCTTGCAGTAAAGGAAAAAAAAGAAAATATTACATGTAAATTATTTTTCCTAAGCCTATTAAACTGAATCTCTGCATATAACCCTGCATTTACCAACCAATAAATTGGGCTTGAATTTGTAGCCATAGTGCAGAATATGGCCTTTGATGCTTATATGTCTTGCAAATTGTAGATATATTTTTTTCTATGATCTTTTAAAGTAGTCTCAACCATATGTATGTACTTCTCCCTGCTGGGAATATTGGATAAGTACTGGCAAACCAGTAGCAATGCAAATCACTGGAAACTAATGAAAAAATTATTTCAGCAGCATCAATGCAGAAGAACTCAGCTGAGGTTACATTTTGTTTGGATTCATCTTATTCTCATTAGGGATGATTCAGTTGGAGATGATGCAGTTATGGATGGGCTACCAATGTCGTGTAATGTGCAACAATACATCTTCACTGCTCATGCTTGAGGTTGTTTCCATTGAAATAAACACAAGCATTACTACCTATTTTAATACCCTTGAAAACACAGTTTCCAGGCTTGGGTTGGATTTTTTTTTTTTTTGGCAAGGTAGTTCTTTTTTTGGAGAAGTACATGCAGTGAGTTAGTGTTTTCCTTGAATGTGAGAAGTGAAAGTGTGAAAGTGAGGCTGTTCTAATTGATAGAGCTTTTGGGAACTTTCTTCTTTCTTACAAATTAATGAAATTGTCTAGATTAAATCAATTTAGATGGTGTGTGACAGTGAGATAATGTGCTGGCCTTTCTATCTGAAAATCTCTGCTATTTGGATTGATGGCACCAGGCCAGTGTCTAATGGATGCATTTGTCTACATTACAGAAGTTCCTGCAGTCTGGACTTTTGCTTCAGAGAGCCTGAAGATTTGGTGAATTTTTTTACCCTAGATGAAAATTTTCCTGTTAGCACTATGCCCAATATCTGTTGATATTCTGTGCAGGATTCTATTGTGTTTGTAATAATCAGATTGACATCTATGTTTTCATTGACTACTTGGATGAAATAAAGAATGAAGTTTTAATGATTCAGCATGATCTCTGCTTTTGAGGAGGGCTAAAGAGATATTTAACATCATTTTCAGACCTTTCTGATGCTGGGCTTTACCACAGAAAGCAAGCATGCTGTGCATAGCACACTGAAGAGCATGCAGTGGAATTGAAATAATTTTCTGCCATGAATTTTCTGGTTCTCTGCTCTCAGCCGTGTGTATCACCTCCCTCCTTGCTGATTTGCTAGCAGCTCCATGTAATCAGCTCATGCAGTATTTCATAAATCACCTTTTCAGGCATTTCCTGGCCTGCGAATTCTGTTCCACATCTGCACATCTGCTCTTTCTGTGGAGACATTAATTTTTCTTCCCTGGGTTACAAACTTCCCAGACACTCATCTATTGCCTGAGTGCTTACCTGCCACATCTGCAAGAGTCTCCTGACACCAGCACTCATTGCTACCTATTGTGGAGGACACAACACTGGGCAAATATTGCCTGCCCAGCAGCTATTCCCTGTTTGTGCTTCAGTTACACTTTCTGTACCACCCTGCTTTACTTTATGTAATGGCTTGTAAAGGAGACCACGAGGAGGTCAGAAGTACATGTCGTCAGTAAAATGAGACATTTCTTCTCCAATCACATCATGTGTTCCTCAAATATTTCTGTTTCACTGGAAGCATTAAAATCCAGACTTTCCTCTATAAGTAAATATATGAATTCTCTGCCATACAATATCTGCAAGTGCTAGCGTATCATAAATTATTGAAAGCAGATAAAATACACTCAGATGTGATCAGTTAGAGCTCAGCCAATTTCAATGCAGCCTGCAGGCTAGCAGGAGCACAAGGATACTTTTTCTTCTGGTAGTGGAAGCTGAAGCAAGGAGATTAAAGATAAACTACTGGGTTTGTGCTATATTGAAACTGTCATGAATGCAAAGGTCTGAATGTCGTATAAATATACATAAAACTGGATTTTGCCCTAAAATACTGGGGAAAAAAATTTGAGTAGTCTACCTGATAATAAATTGGTTCCCTCAATCTTTCATCTGAGTACTTGCAGAGGGGGAAGTCTGGAAACAGAATCAATGTGTCTTTCTGGGGAGAATTTAGGTGCTTAGCTTTGACCCTACTAAGAGATTTCTGAGTCATTTTCAGATCAGCTCTGACTGCATTGTTTGTTTTCTAATGCATAATAAGATTTCACTGTTACTTACATTTTTGGATTAAGGACTATAATCTGTTGATCTCTAAAATGTCATCAGATAATCTGTTTAATCATAAGCAAAAGCTGAGCTTGATAGTCCATATGAGTTACGCAAATTAAATCAGGCACATTATTACCATGCAAGTATAGAAGCTTTCAGCAGAATTCTGTCTCAGTCTACAATTAAAAGTAGGTTTTTGTCTGACTTCAAATTCACGTATCTTTGTCCTGAGGTATAATTGAA